CCCCAAAACCCCAAAACCCCAAAACCCCTCAAGAGACTGTTAGTTAAAATATAGAAATAATTATAATCATAAATTAAAGATATGTAGAAATTAGAGAACTTTGGAGATCTTTTCAAGCACAATAAAGAACTCCTCGACGACGATTACAACCATGGATAGGCTACAGTTCTCAAGACTAAATCTAAGTCTAATGATGGAAGTTTTGTATGTTCATAATAAATAATAAAATGAGTGGAAAATTAACAAAATATTTTGATAATAGGAGATTAGTTCGACCTTGAAATAAAGCACTCAAAATTAGCATGGAGAAGCTAACGTTGGGCTTGAGAGTAAATTGAAGTTTATTCAAGGAGGTTAAACCTGGGAATGCGCACTCAAGTAAGATGGAAGCTGCTCTTGGGATGGCAAATCTGATTTCCTCTAGGTAAGTTAGATCTGAATATTTTAATCATTGATTTTAGAGATACATCAACAATAAGGGACTCCAAGTAGTTTTTCACTCAACTAATTAAGCTATTCCAAGTTCTACTTTACCAACATACAAAGTTGGCTTAGACTTTGTCAACGATTAACTAAGATTCAAATTACTAGCAAATGTTTAAAACTGGGCTTTAGAGCACAATTTGACCTATCAAGCAAGATCAAACTTCGTCTTTGGTTACAATTTAGCCCTTGACTCAAGAAGCTCTAATCTTACAAAATACGATGCAGGCCTCTCATGGGAAGCTACTCCAAATGTACTTCTAGGTCTTAAGCATGAGTCAACTTCTAAAGATACCATCAAACTCGGAAAAGTCTTACTTCAGTTACATCATGCTGCAACTGCCTCTCAATCACTTGGAGCAGAATTTGTTCTTGATTATCATAAGAAAGTACTTGAGTCCAGATTTGGTCTTTCTCACAAAATTAACAATGACAGCTCTGTCAAATTCAAGGTAAACCATCATGGTTTCCTCGATGCTGTATTCAAGCACAAGCTCAGCTCCGCTGCTACCCTAAATGTAGTTACTGGATACAATCTCAAGGCTGCTGTTCATGAGAAGAAAGGCACAAATCTTCCTTTCGGGCTCTGCCTTGACCTTAAATTCTGAAGAAATAATTACTCAAAATACAATTTATTGCTGCTCAGAAATGTGTAGCGATTCCTTATTTAAAAATAATTCATCATTCAGTTTTCTTTTATTTAAGACATTCGGGGTTTTGGGGTTTTGGGGTTTTGGGG